GGGCTGGTCTCAAGCCCATGAGCTCAGGCAATCCACCTGCCTCAGCCTCTGTGCCTGGCCATCCTAGCACTCTTTGAAACCAAAGTGGGAAGACCACTGTAGCACAGGAGTTCAAGACCAGCCTGAGCAAGAGCAAGACCCCTTATCTACTAATAAGATAAAAACTAGCCAGACATGATAGGTACCTGTAGTCCCAGCTATTTGGGAGGCTGAAGCAGGAGGAGTTTGAGGTTGCTGTGAGCTAGGCTGACACCATAGCAGTATACCCAGGGTGACAAAGTGAAACTCTGCCTCTAAAATAATAATAATAATAATAAAATACATAAAACACAGATCCTCTGCTTCTGACTGGAGAATGCTGCCATGTGGTGCATGTCCCCTGGTAAGAGACAGGGGCATGGATATACAGGAAAGAAAGAGACACAAAGAGCAAGGAGAGTTGGGGAAGGAGCTTGAAAAGGTGGCTGATCTGAAGAGTAAACTAGAAAAGGAGGTAAAACCATAGCTAGCAGTGCCTCAGTTTACTGAAAAGAGATGTGCACTATCTTAAAAGATCATCCACAATTTTCCCAATTTTTCTAAAGATTTCCACACTTTTATCAAATAGTGAGGAGCAATCCCTAAAGTCAAAAGAAATAGTGCTGGCCAAATTCATCTGAGAGAAGAAAAGAAATATTATGAACACCCTCTTCTAGTGCCAGACCTACTCTAGACTCTTCTGTCTTCCCCCCACCTCTGCATCTGTCCACAATCCCAGGCATCTCTCTTTCCTTAAAATCTTTACCCCAGCTCATATGGTTGTTTGGATAAATCTCAACTTTGCAAACCATGTGTAGGTCTTGCTGGAAGTCTCTCTCCCTGGCTGGGCTACATGATACATGAGCCCTGAGGAATAAGAAGGCCAGAAGTGGAGACGTAAGAACCTGCTCACATCCTCCTCTCAGGTCTCACTGACCTATGAGGGGGTCGGTGACATGTGTCCAGTCAATGCAGCATTGCAGTTCAAGCTGGTAGTGGGACTGGATGTACAGAAGAAGATGCTGGTAGAAGCCAATGCCAGCAACCAAGTGTGTCCTGTAGGCACACTCCAGAGTGCTCCGGCTGTGGACGTGCTGCAGAATAGGAAAGGAAAAGAGCAGAACTAAGCAAAAGCTCAAGGGTCCTACTTTCCCCTCACACGTATCTTCTTAGCTCTGGAACTTCCTCTTCATCTCCTCTCACTCACAAGTTAACCCATACTCTCAGCTCCACCTCTCTGGCCTGGGACCAGGGACCAGGCTGCCCTCTTTCTCCAACCCTAATTACACCTCCCTCCCTCTCTCCCTTGAGCTGTCTCTTCCTCGATCCCTACCTCCACATGCACTCTGGGTCCACTTTCCTAGCTATTTCTTACTTATCTCGCTTCCCCTCTTCCCCAAGTTCTAGGACCTTCCCTTACCTTTTTATTTGTCTTGATAAGCTGGATAACTTCATAGTATACCTTTCTCCAGAGCAGCTCCTCAGCCTTCCTCCCATAGTCCACTGGGTGCAGAAACATAAGCTTGACACAGAGCTCACGCAACCTGGGAGGGTGCAGGGGAACATGAGACAAACCACCCATCCCTTAGTAAGGAACACAAAATTAAGGGGAAGGAAACAAGGATTCATGTGCCATAACATTCATTTGCCCACCAACAGAGCTCTGTGCCTCCCAAGAGATATCCTGGGTCAGACGTCCACAACAGCAGTCTAAAAGGCAGTGGGAGACCCAAGTGACAGAAGCAGAAAGTAGTAACAATGTTTTTTTTTGTTCTTTTTTTTTTTTGAGACAGAGCCTCAAGCTGTCACCCTGGGTAGAGTGCTTTGGCATCACAGCTCACAGCAACCTCCAACTCCTGGGCTCAAGTGA